TGTGGCTGGATGACCACACTTCTGGTAACATGGGGGTGCAGCCTAATGTGCTAATGAGCTGTGCTGTCAGGGGTGTGGCCTAATATGTTAATGAGTTTCTGCTGTTGGGTGTGACCTATTATGCTAATGAGTTCCTGCTGGGCTTTTTCTACAACCCCCCCCCTGCTTCCAGGTGATTTCATTGTGCCATGTTTCGGGGCATTTGCGGGCAGGGAAGGGCCTGCAAAATTGGGGGAAAACCCCAACCTGGACCAGTGGGCTGGCAACCTTAATCGCGCCCCACTGCTCAGGCTGTCTTCGGCACTAACACCCTTAACAGTGCTCAGAATCCTCTATTTGAGGCACTGCTGCATTGTTTCTCATGATAAGGACACATTTCAGTACCAGCAGGAAACGGGAAGCAGAAGGGGTTACGTTAAATGAGAATGGAATTGAATTTCTGGCAAAAAAATTCAGAAAATATTTCTAAGCATCTTAAAAATTAATATTCCATTAACACCGGAAATCTGTCTACTAAATATGTTACCGGATACAATAAAAGAACATGTACATATTATAGTATATATACTAACAGCAGCTAGAATACTCATAGCAAAGAGATGGAAATCAGAAAATTTACCCTCTATAAGAGAATTGAAATATAAAATCCTAGAAGTAGCAGAAATGGATAAACTGAATATCAATCTACAAAACAAATCAGAAAAGACCTTCTGGGATAGATGGGGAATAGTATACGACTGGCTGAAGATAGAAAAGATTAGATAAGAAAAATGAATATGCCAGTGTACGGTACTTGATGTATTAGCAAAGGTTGAATTTTATGCTGTGAAATGTACAATCTTTTCAACTAGTATGTTTTTATTTTAGTTCCGTTAAAGAAAAATGAAAAAATAAAATTACAAAAAAAGAAGAAAGAATGGAATTGAGATGAAAGAAACAAAGATGGAGGCAGAACAAGGGATGGGGACTGCAAAGCTTTCTTACCCGACTGGCTGGTGCTAACGTTGATAGCAGCATATTGGGGGGCATCGGGGCTCAACTCGGTCACCAGGTTGACGGCCTGAATCTCAAAGGTGTACTGCACACGGGCCAGGAGGTTGGAGACTTGCACTCGGCTCTCCGTCAGCCCCACCTGGCGAGGCTCGAACTGGACGCTGTCCCCACAACGCACGCAAGGCCCCGGGGACCCTGTTGGGCACACCTTGCAGATGACATTGAAGAAAACATCCTTTCGGCCACCCAGGTCCTTGGGGAGACGCCAGGTTAGGAGGACGTTGGAGCCAAGAATCTCGTAGCTAAGGTCACGTGGGGCCGAAGGGGTGCCTGTAAACAAAAAACAAAAAAAGAGGAGAGCACGAAAGCGTGAAGAATTGGGACAATGAAAGAGAGGCTGATAGTAACAAAAGGATGGGAATCTGGGTGGCAACATTCTTGACAGATGCCCAAGGACAGCTTTTTCACTGGTGGTACCTGTCTTGTGCAATGCCCTACCCAAATCTTGAGTCATGCTTGATGTTTGCCCCACCGCTTTTCTTGCCAGCTTTCCCAACGGCGAGATGATCTGACTTTTTTTGTTACGGTTGATGTCCTGATTCTGATTTGCTGCTTTTTCTTGCTTAGTGTTACGACTCGTTATGGCAGACACAGGGCAGCTGGCAGAAACAGCTCTGGCTTGGCCCGAAACCTTTCCCCTTGAGCTGTGGCGGTCCACCACAGTGGAAAGTTTCTGGAGGTTGGGCCTTCTCCTCACACAAGACCAACTTCTTGTAATGAGCCAGAAAGCATCTTGTGACACAGGAAAGCAATGCACAGTGGCGGAGATGGGCACAAACATAAGTAAGGCTGACAATCCGCTTAAAGATATTTATTTATGTATGCATTAAGTTTCGTCAAGTCACTCTTGACTTATGGCAACTGTACGAATTAATTCACTCCCAAATATCCTATTGTTACCAGCCTTGCTCACGTCTTGCAAACTGAGGGCTGTGGCTTCCTCAACTGAGTCAATCCATCTATTTGCCTAATCTGTGCAAACTCAAGGTGGCTAGCAGAACAGTCAAAATCCAAGGCAGAGGAGGAGGAAGAGGAGATTGGATTTATAACCCACCCTTCACTCAGAGTCTCAGAGCAGCTTACAATCTCCTTTCCTTTTAAGTCGCTCACTTAACAAAGCAGTCGGAGAGTGAATCGGCAAGAACACAGCTTTATTCTTCAACTCGAACACAACTCCAACACGGATCAACATCTGATAGCCAGAACAGAACAGTTCAGTTCTACATTGCAGTCCCCCTGCTTTTAAACTCTCCCGGCTAATGTAGCCACACCCTCTGTACAAATACCAACCAATACGGTTGTTCAGATAAGGACCAATCACAGACGTTCCCGCTTAGGGAGCTTGCTGTGAAGTGATTGGCTAGGTGCTTCCTGGGCTAGCAATATGATTGGATGGATTTGGATCCTAGCCCAGGACGAAGCTTAACATAGCTTTTCAATCAGATGTTTCACAACACATAATGAATTCTACGGCAGCTTATGAATACATTACATTTCCCTTCCCCTCCCCACAAAAGACACCCTGTGAGGTAAGTGGGGCTGAGAGCTCTTTTGAGGACTGCTTGTGAGAGATCAGCTCTGAAAGAGCTTGTAACTGACCCAAGGTCACACCAGCAGCTGCATGTGCCTCATAACCCCTTTCACGTGTAAGGGTACTCACTGTACAACATGATGCCACTGTGTTCAGAGTTATCCTGCTCCAACCAATGGCAACTATTGGAGGGAGGAGACAGAAACTCCCAACAGGATGACGTCGTGCTTGCACAGTGAGCATCTCCAGATGCTCTGTGGAGGAGATGGGGACATGATGTTTTCAGGGGAACCCTTGTGCCTGCTGCAGCATATAGTTCCACCCAAAGGTAATACTTCTGGTGGCAGCCTTGTGCCTGCTGTAGCATCTACGTCTACTCTTAAGAGTGCTGTTCTGCTTTTCGTTGTGCTAATGTGTTCTTTCAATTGTTTGTAAATGGCCTTGAGTACAGATGCGCATTCAACGGTGACTAATAGACTGAAAATAGTAATAAGAATCTGTGAAGAGAGTGACATTTGTCTCCTGTTTGTGAAATCTGTCTCCTAACTTTAGCATCTGAGGACACCCAATCAGTGTTCCCTCCAAGCCGAGTTAGCGTGAGCGAGCTCACAGGTTTTTTTAGCCTCTGGCTTACACATTTTTGTCTTAGCACGGGAAGGATGGCTGCAGAGCAAACTAATTTATGCAGTAGCCAAATCGCTCGCTCAGGACTTTAATGCCCGTAGCTCACAAAGCAGAATTTTTGCTCACAAGACTCCACGGCTTAGAGGGGGCATCGCACCCAATGACATGTACTGGAAACAGATTCAAGGGAGACATGAGGAAGACTTTCTTCACTGCCACAAAATGTGGCTGTGGCCACTAACTTAAGAGGACTTCTTAAATAGGCTGAGCAAAATCCACAAAGAAGTCTGTATCAAGAAGTATTAGCTACGACACCTATATAAAACATCCATATACAGAGGAAGTCTATCCTTCTGATTATCAAATGATGGGAACAAACAACAGGGGAAGGCCCTTTCATGTTATGCTTGTGAGATTCCCAGAGACGTATGAGGGGTGGTGTGAGATTGTTGGACCAGATAGAACATAGTCTGATCCAGCCAAACCAAACTTTTATTCAGCCATTCATTCATACTGGCGTTAAGTCAGAAGTATAAGGCAGCCTTATTTAATAGAAATCTAATTTTGCAATCCAGTTTTATTTTGTGATTTTATTGTAGGTAATATAACGTTTCACTGCACTGTACTCCACTCACGTAATTCATGCTTTGCTGTCGGTATTATGTGCTTTGTTTTCAGAGCCACATTATTTCATCTTGCAGGTTTTTAAATGTATTATATGTACTACAGCGTTTTTAGCTGTCACAAGCCCTGAGTCTCAGCAAGAATGGCAAAGTAAGTAAATAAATATAATAAACTACTGATTTCTGTGAAAAATGGCATGCAGCGAATTCTGTTCCTCAAACATGTTTGTCAAACATTTTATTCCACAGCTACCTTACGAACAATAGATGAAATGCTGAACAACCATCAATGAAAAAAAAACCCAGCAGCTTTGGCCTTTGGTCCATAAGGACGTTCGACATCCCTGCCCATGAGCCAGTTTCATAAGGGAAGTGCTTGGAAACACCGCCTAATGGATGAATGGTAAGAGGGGAATGAAGCAAGGCCTCAAGGCAGGAAATAAATCAAGAGGGGTGAGGGAAAAGAGCGATAGGTCCATAAGGACGTTCGACATCCCTGCCCATGAGCCAGTTTCATAAGGGAAGTGCTTGGAAACACCGCCTAATGGATGAATGGTAAGAGGGGAATGAAGCAAGGCCTCAAGGCAGGAAATAAATCAAGAGGGGTGAGGGAAAAGAGCGATACAGGGAGCAGGCATGATGGAAGAAACACTGGGGTGGATGCAACCATTCTCCAAGTGGCCTTCTTCCAGCCTAAGGAGACTCCCTCAAGTTTGAGTGGCTCTTCCTCCTGGTATTACCCCCCCCCCCGAGCATTGTGCTCAATAGGTAACAACTAACTGGAGATCCCTGGCCCAAAGAATATTCAGCTGTATTCCACCTGAGCCAGGGCTCCGGCTTGGTGGAACTCCCTGTCGAATGAGACCCGGGCCCTGAGGGATTTGAGGCAGTTTTGCAGGGCCTGTAAGACAGAGATGTTCTGCCCAGCCTATGGTTGGGGACAACGATGGTTTCTACCTGGGCTGACGTCCTTCCCTTCCTTTCCCTTCTCCCATCAAACTGTATGATATCTATTCCCCCACAGAGAAGGGGCACTATGTTGTGCTTCCCTTCTATGTACCATCTTATTGGCGCCAGTGTTATGGTAAGAATTCTTTTAATAGTTTTAATTTATGAATACTGTTGTTACCCACTCTGAGCCCTGTTGTACAAGGGAGGGAGGGCTATAAATCTAAGACAGGGAGAGAGAAGAAGAAGAGAAGAGTTTGGATTATACCTCACCCTTCACTCAGAGTCTCAGAGCGGCTTACAAACTCCTTTCCCTTCCTCTCCCCACAACAGACACCCCGTGAGGTAGGTGGGGCTGAGGGAGCTCTTTCAAGAACTGCCCTTTCAAGGACAGCTCTTGTCAGAACTATGGCTTGCCCGAGGTCATCCAGCAGTTGCAAGTGGAGGAGTGGGGGATCAAACCCGGTTCTCCCAGATTAGAGTCTGCACACTTAACCTTAGTTTGGAGGGAGGCTTCCAACTCCAGCCAAAAGGAAAGGGGGGGGGGTATGAATATTTTAAAAAATAAATAAGTAAACAAATGGGGTAGGATAGGGGGTAGGATCTATCCTACTAGCTTTTGAGGCTAGCACAGAAGGAGAATGTAGAGAGAATCCAAGACAGGAAAGTGGGGTGCCAGTCTTGCATTATCGGTCTTCATGGCTGCTTTCCAATATACATTTCCACCGTTTTGTGGCCATCTCTGGTAGCTAATCATGCCTGTCCATCCCTCCCTGTCCCAGATACTTACTGGTACAGGGGGCATCAGAGGTGTCCGAAGACGAACGGTAGTATCGGGCCAAGCAGGTGCATTCGCTGGCGCCTGGTGTCGAAGAATAGCTGTGGGCAGGACATGGACTGCAGGGCGTGTCTCCCACAGAGGCCTTGAAAGTACCAGCAGTACAAGCTAGAGAGAAAAAAGGGGGGAAGAAGGGAGAAATCCATTGAGTCGTCAAAGACAGACATTTCACGAGCAGGTTCCGTTTCTCCACCAACAAGCAAACAAAACAGGAACACACATGAATCTGCCTAATACAAAATCAGATCACTGGTCCGTCAAAGTCAGTATCGTCTACTCAGACTGGCGGGGCTCTGCAGGGTCTCAGGGGGAGGTCTCTCCCATCACCTCCTACCTGGTTGTTTTAACTGGAGATGCCAGGGATTGAACCTGGGACCTTCTGCACACCAAACAGATGCTGGACTGCTGAGCCACAGCCCTCCCCTCCACATATTAAAGAATCTTTAAATAATATACATTTATGGGCACAAGCTCTGCATGGGTGAGGCAGAAACATAAATAAAACATGTACAAAGATGCTTGTGAATCTCTTAGTGCGGCTAGCCACCTGAGAGAGTCCGCTGGCCGTTTTTTCATTTCAAGCTGGCTTAGAAATGTGTTTTGATACTTTCTAAACCTCAGATTTCCAGATTCACAATGTGCTTCTTTGGCAGCTCTGTAAAAAAAATTCTGAATCGCTTCCAGTTTTGCGTGTCTTTCTCCTTGTGCGATTCACTGAAATCACTTCTAACCAAGCATAATGCCACAAAGCCTCTCCTTATAAGAACTCAGATCAGGAGAGAAGAAGCAAGCGAGCAACTAGATTGCAATCTGTATGGATGATGGATCTAGACTGACATCCCTTGGTGACATGCATCGTAGTCAATGTTTGTGCAAACACCTGAGCTGGCTGACCTAAAGCCCAGTTTCTAGTTTTGCCAGGCACAGAAGGCTTCCAGAATGCTCAAGCGGAAATTTCTGGCTTCTACACCAAATCCTATTGCCTGCCTAATCGACGTTTACATTAGCTGAAGAGTTTTACAGATGCTTTGGACCACCGAAGAGACAAATATGTGGGTTCTAGATCAAATGAAATGTGAATTCTTCCTAGAAACTAAAATGACTAAACTTAGGCTATTGTACTTCGGCCCCCTGACGAAAAGAGAAGACCCACTGGAAATGCTAGGAAAAATTGAAGGCGGCAGGAAAAGAGGAAGACCCAACATGAGGTGGATTGACAATCAAGGAAGGCTCTTAACAGTAGGATGTTTTGAAGACCATTAATTCAGAGTGTCATCAGAAGTGGATGGCACGTCTGTTTGCTCGCAAGATTTTTCTAGCTGGCCATTCAGAAACTGGACAAACCAAACTCTTCTTTCCTCAGGTCCTGCACTGATCAAAGGCAGGAGAGACAACCCGAAAAGAGACGACCCCCCCACTATATCCTCAAGTTAATATACAGAGGTATCAAGTCAGCAGAAAACTTACTAGCGCCTCGTTTACATACTCTGAAATGCATATTTTTGTTCTTATTTGAGAATAACAGCCCTTACCAGTAGCTTCCTGCAACCATACTTGTTAGACACAATACATATTCATATGAAACTTGGGAACAGACTGGGGCATTCTGATCCTGGTTGTAAGTTCATAGCACAAACATGGACAATTGTGTGCTGTTTTCTTCCAAAGGTAACGCTTTGAACAACGGCAGTGGCCACTAGGAATCTCTGCCTTTCTGCTCCTCTTCATTTGAGCTCTTGTCAGGAGGGAGGACCTGACCACCCTAGATGGGGAGAACAAACAACGGGGAGGGGGGCTTTCTTTCCAGGGAATCCAAATCAATGGGACATGTGTACACAGTTGTCCATACATGCCAGATCTGGATACTGCCACATAGTTTGAAAATGAAGAAAATCTGGGACAGGACTGCAGAATGCAAAATTTTCTCTCTAGACATGCACTGGATTCTCTGCCTACTAGCTACACCCTTATGCCAAACCTATAATCTTTGCTTCTGGATACACCCTTGGGGATTCCAGGAACAAAATTCATCCTTAGATTTTGGAAGATAGAATTTCCTCCCCAGTTTCCCCCCCCTCCTTTGTGGATTTTTAAAAAAATGTCTTGTGGCTGACGAGACAAACATTTTGAAGTTCTAAAAGTGGTTTTCCAAGACGCCAAATCCTCAGTAGATTCCAGCAGTGACTATTTTCTGAGTTGCCAGGAACTAAGATTGATTGTACTCAAGCAGATCTGCAATAGGTGCCAGAGATCGGAAGCTCAACGTGATTTATCAAGGGAAAGGAAAAAAAATAAAGTGAGGTAAGAACCGAGTCTGTAAACATGACTGCGCAAGATTGGACGGCTTTCTGGGACGGGGCTCAGTTTGTGTGATATTTTTCAACGCGCCAATTTTTGCAAACAGAGCAGCTGGCGAAGAATCAAAGGTTTGTTTCCTTCTGTTTTCCTCCCCCCCTTAGCTGCTGCATAAATTTTCCTTTTTTATAAGTGGAACAAGAAGCGGGAAGGAGGGAGAGACGGCAAGCATGGAAACGAAAAAACGAACTTTCTCCCTCGAATCAGCTGCTGGAAATGTTTCGTGCACAGTGTGAAGTAATCAAACCCTGTATTGAGCCAGCAATTTAGGGTGTAAGCAAACAGCCGCTTTGCGTGCTCCCAGAGACGGAAGTTGCGTGGGGAAGGCCAGTAATGTTTTCTCTGGGAGAAGCCTCTCTGTCAGACAACCACCCCAAAAAACCTGTTTCAGAGGGCTGCCCTATTGGTCGGCAGTAGAACACTTAGAGTCAAGCCCAGTAGCACTTTAGAAAGCAACAAGATCTTCAGCTTTCAAGAGTCAACGCTCCCTTGGTCAGAAGCTATGATTTTTATTTGTCTATTGTATTTCTGCACGACCTCTCTGCTTTAAAAAAAAGGGGAGTGGGTGGGAACCAGGCAACATGCAACCGGCACCCAGGGCTTTGAAAACTTTGTTTGCAGTGGCTGGCTGCCTTGCTTGTCACTGGATGATTGATGGCCTAAGCATGGGCCCACAACTGCTCTTCCCCTGCTGTTCTCTCCTTGGTAGTCAGGTTAAGGGAAGGCTGCTCTCTCTCTTTCGTCCCCTCAGGGCAAGCAGGTTCTTCAGCAGCGTGAGAGCCCCATGGGAGATGGATGGATGGAGGCCACCTGAGATGCACCAGCAGCCATTCACCAGGCTGTTGTGAGATCTCTGTGGAGTGAAGGATCTCCAAGATGCAGGGACAGGTCTGCAGAAACACAAAGGCGCATTTACTGAGGGCGACACCCTGCCTTTGCCCTAGGAGTTCAGCATCTAGATGCGCTGGGAGGCCGTTGATGGAGGGGACTCAACGACCGTTTGACCCAGAGATTAAGGGCTTCGCCTGTCCTTCTTAGGGCCTCCAAGAGTGACTTCTTTTGGCCTGATTGGATGAGAGCCTTTGCCATCCACTCCACCACTGCCCTTCCAGGCACCAGGCACAGCCACTGCCATTCCTACCGCTTCTTCCACTGGGCTCCACCTTCTGACTGGTCAGGCACAGCCCCTCTAGCTCTTACGGTTCATCCCCTAAGTCTTGTGGCCTGAGCCTCAGGAGGCCTGGCAACACAACAGCTGGTGGGAAGAAATTCCACATGGGAGAGAAGGGGTGGGTTCAGCCGTAGGGTTGCCAGGCCAAGGCTAGCAATGGCGTAAATGACGGGGGAGGGACTTACCAATTCCAGCACACCCAGCATCATGACATCACTTGCAGCACAAACCGGAAGTGACATCAATGCATCAGGGCGATGCTCTAGCATTCACCCTAAACTCTACGGTAAAGCCATACAAGGAGGGTATAGTGAGGTCTAATACACTCAGGGCTCTCTTTGTAGCAGGAACTCCTTTGCATATTAGGTGACACACCCCTAATGTAGCCAATCCTCCAAGAGCTTACAGTAGCCCCTGTAAGAAGAGCTCTGTAAGCCTTTGGAGGATTGGCTACATTAGGGGTGTGTTGCCTAATATGCAAAGGAGTTCCTGCTACAAAAAGAGCCCTGCTCCTATATGCAAACCAAGTCGCCACTAAATTCTGAACTGGGTTTCCAGAGAGTAAGTTATGCAAGCCATCTGTCCCCTCGTTATATCCCAGTCTCGGGTAGCTCCAGCTAGAAATTCCCATATTTTCCCCTTCCCATTGCCCCTACCTTCAGAACCATCTGCTTCTTTTGGTCACATCTGCAGAGCACAGGTAACAATCCTCACCCCCAGATGTAGATTACCCATTTAAGATAAACTCCCATAATCCCCACGTGAAGCCAGCTGGGTGACCTTGGGCAAGTCACAGCACTCTCGGCCTAAAAATAAGCATAGCTCGCCACCTAGCGGTGCCAAAAAAAAGCTACAGCTTCAGGCAGCCAAAGAATCCTTCGGGATCTCCTGGCAATTCCACACACAATGCCATACAATAATTTAATTTTTCCCATAGGCAGTGAGAACCATTGTCCCACCTCTCATCAGGCAGAGCCATAGTGACAGACCAATTCAAAGTAATCAAGACAGCTAATGTTGGAAAGAATGTAACCTAGCCCTGACCTGGATAGACCAGGCAAGCCCAATCTTATCAGATCTCAGAAGCTAAGCAGGGCCAACCCGAACAAGTATTTGGATGGGAGACCTCCAAAGAAAACCAGGGCCGGGAGGCCAGAGGCAGGCCACTTCTCTGAATGTCCTCCGTGCCCCAGGAGGAGTTGTCAAAGGTTGCCATGACTTCCAGGCATGGGCACACATATGTGTGCATGTACACACACACACATACAATACATTAAGATATATCAAGGACTTCTGGTGTATGGCTACATGCTGGCGGACGCACCTCCCAGACCTCCCGGGGGTGCAATCTGCGCACTAGCAGATGGGGGGGGATTGTTTGCCACCACCACCCCAGAGCCTTTGTGAAAGGCTCCTAGCCATGGGGCTTTTGAGGGGTGGCATCTTCGCCAGCACGTTGCTGGAGAATTGAGGCGCTCCTCCGCCCCGACGGTCCTGCTGCTATGCGTCCTTATGGAACTAAAGCCGCTGACCGGGACATCGAGCGTTTAAAACCTATGCTGAGCGAGGTCCAAGGACCAAC